GAGAGTTGGTGCTGGGATTCCACATCTCAGGCTGAGGCCAGATTCAGGACAACCGATGAAAAACGTACTTGCGTTCTCACGAGAAATCCATAAGCAGGACTTTGACAACTGTTTTGCACCTGTGTCTTGGATCTTGTAGTTAACAGGTCAGGGCTACTGTATTCCCTCCAGCTAGTTTTTGCCTTGCTTTGCTCTCCTCTGTGCCAGGGACTCATGACAGTGGCTATGCTAGTAACCTTCTGATTTCTTTGTCCTAGATTCTTGCTCAACTTTTCTAGATAACTCACAAAATGAAAGACAATTCTTTGAGCTCTTTTCTTCTTTAGAGTGAGGTGTGACTAAAGTTTTAATTTGATTACTTTCAGGGCCAGTAATTAAAAGGGTATCTGCTGGGTATGGTGGTGCAGGCCTATAATCCCAGCACAAAGTAGGAAGGAGGCTGAGACAGGAGGATCACCATGAATTCAAGGCCAGCTGAACTACACAGTGAGATAAAGGGCAGCCTGAACTACTTAGCAGGATCCTGTTTCAAAAAACCCAAAAATAAATAAAATATGAATAAATGAAAAGCAACAAGTGAATGGGTGCAATATTCATCTTTTTATTGTTGCCTCCAAGAAACAAAGGGATTCAGTGCTATTTTTCAGAAGTTTCCAGGTGACATACCTGTGCATGAGAAATAAAATCAAAGTAAGCTTGGTATTGTGTCAGGATTTTGTAAAATACTCTTGTGGAGCTCCATGTATACACATGACCATGTTTATCTGTGATTTGAAGTGGTGATAATACCTAGATACAAAGCTATACTTGTAACAGTTCAAGTACTGTGAACTTAACTGTCCAAACTTGCCTCTCTTTTATTGTGTGGGCCTAGTTTGTGGGAGAGGACAGCTCTATTTCCAAAATTGATTAACAGAATTATGGAGGGCAGGTTATAAAAAATACAATCTCATGCACTCTCAGTGGTAGAAATGTACTATGACCCGTGTGTGTGTGTGTGTGTGTGTGTGTGTGTGTGTGTGTGTTGATTTTTGTGATCTATAAGTCTGAGAATGCATATGCTAAAAGGGTTAGGTTACCTTTCTACTTTTAGGCATGCTTTAAGCAAATCTCATCAATTTTCAGTGTCTGGATCAAAGGATTAAGGGGGATTAGAAAGACTAGAAGAATTTCAAAGACTGATGTCTAAAGTATCCCTCCAGCAATAGCAGCCTGGGCTCCAGTTTCCCAGAGCACGTATAGAACAGAAGAAAGATTTCTCAGTGCTAAGATGTAGCTGTCCTGAGTCGACGCAGACTGAATTTCACAGCACTGAGCTGGTCTGGATTCTGTACTGCACAGAAGTGTGCTGAGGAGACATGTGGACTTGCAAGCAAAGCACGACATCTTGAGACCCCAGTCTGAGTGAGAGCAGTAGAGGTCTACCAGGAAGAAGCAAACTAAAATGTCAAGATTATTCTTAAAAGGCCCGACCAGAAGATGGTAGCTCATCAGTTCATTCTCTTCTTCAGCCCATGGAACCAGTTATGTACCTCTCACAGGAGTAAAAAAGGTACTATTTTTCTGAAACAAGGCAGGTTTGTACTGTTGGCTTGTTTAACACCTTGCT